CCTTCTTGCTTTTCATCGGAAAAAACAAAGGTGCAAAAGTAAAAGGTATTGTTAATTTGGCAATGAATTAAAACACTACTCATTTACCGAAAAATAAATAAAATAAACAGTAGTCATATATGGTAGTAAAAGCATCAAATTTTCAACATTTTAGTTGAAGCTGAAAGTCTTCGTAAATTTGATTTTATCCTTGCCCTTTTAGGCTTCTACAGTTATATAGCATGACTGCGTACAACAGTTGTCAATTTGTATTAGGATTGGATCGGAATCTGACTTGAATTGTAAAATATCAGTATGGCACACGGAAAAAGATCCAAAAATTTTAATATAACTATATTATTTATTTATAATCATGATTAATAATTCATTGAAGATTTAATTTAAGGTGAGTTTGGTTACTATGAGCTCTCTACTTCAAAAATAGTAAGTTCGTCTCACATTTTTTACTTTGTTCTTTCAAATCTTATACTTTAGAAGGTGAGAAAGTACCAAAGTAGAAGAAATGACTTAATTAAATAAGAAATACACTCTTAGCATACACCATACCTTATATCAGGCTCCATTTTTATTTCTAAATCGATCTATTTAGTCGGATTAAGGTAGCATACCTTTAACCCTAACCCTAAAAAGAGGTAGGCTTGAGAAGCATTGGAGTCTTCATGACATTAGCAGTGCAAGGAGGAGGAGGAAATTCTTTATGTTGGGTAAAAATGTCAAGACTGTTATAGTCTAATAGACACAAGATTTGCACTTCAACTACAAGCACAAAAATAAATAATTAATTAAAAAAAAAAAAAAAAAAAAAAATCATTCTGGATCCAACTACTTACTCTTGAAGAACATTGAATATCATGCAGTCAACAACCTTTCTAATAATTATTCTAGTTATTTCTTGGTACGTAGGCAATAAATTTAACTACCAGACCCACCTAATTTCAATTCCATTGCCACTACCAGCTTTGCATTATAGAAAAGGATTAAACACCCGAATTGGAAAAAATATATATATAAAAGATCTTTACCACTGATTTGTCCATTATTGATTTAAAGAGAGAGGCTTATTTTTAGGGACGGACCTAGAAAATAATGTGAGGGGAGAAATAATGAAATTTTTTAATAATTTCAAAGGGGCAATGATAATATTTTATGGACATATATTTGAAAAAACCATATTAATAGGGGTATTTTACTATAATAAAATAAAATAAAAAACAGGGGGGCAATTGCCACCCCTGAGCTTGTTGGAGGTTCATTCATTGTTCTTATCTATAATTAATTAAGAATCTTTGTTAGAAACTGGTGATTAGAATAAAGGAAAAAAAAAAAAAAAAAATGATTCTCGTATAGTAGACTTCTAGTTCTTTCATTTGTTGGTTTTTTTTATCTTATAATTGAGAGTATCGAATTGGCAATTTGAAATTAAAATTGAAAGAAATTAAGTTTGAATTCCAATTCCATTGCATCGATTCAACGCTCCCAAACATAACAAAATGTATTTTATTTTAGAGATTTTGTGCAATTCACTACTAAAAATATTACTTGAAGTAATTCAAGACACTTTTTATTATTATTATTATTATGAGACTTGAACCGCTAACTTCCCTTTGAAAAGTAAAAGAGGCCATTGACCGGTTGGTAAGATTTTGATCCTTTATTGGCAAATATCACGTCACAAAAGATAAATAAATGAAATAATTTTGTTTATTTGTCAAATAAACAAATGGAAAAAATAATAATTTTGAAATGTGATTTTAAGAGTGAATCTAATCGAAGATGTAACCCATATGCGACCTTGCTAGTATTTAGAAACCAAACTTGTGAATGGGCTCTATTACTAACTACACAAAAAGGCCCAAACATAGTCTAAACTGAAAACAACCAGCCCAACTCCACTCACATACTGAAAACGACAAGCCCAGCAAACTAGTCGCTCATTTTTTGAGTTTATTAAAATTTAAACTACTATGCAACTTGCCAACTTGTTCTCGAGGTCTACATACATAAGTTTTTAAATTTGTCACTTCGCTATTAGTCTAGGTGGTATAACCTATTTTCTTTTAAACGGTTGATAAGGATAGTTGGAGTCCAATGGTAGCGAGTTGTGAGTGTATGTGTGAGTATTTTACCTAACTAAAATATATATATATATAGCTTTTTTTCCATTCTACTATTTGGTTATGTAAATTTTATTTTTTCATTATGTTCTATCTAAGTTCATAGATTTACGTTTCTTTGGTTGGAGGGATGGAAAAATTGATGGAAGTGAGAGGGGAAGGGATGGATGAGGCATCTTTAGGAAAAGGAAGGTGTCTCCTCATTTTTTTATTTGGTTTAATGAAAATTATTGAATGGATAATAGAAATGATAAATGTACTGACACTTTTTTTTTTTTTTTTTGGTTGGTTGGAATAAGGAAAAGGAGTTTTTATAGTATTTTTACTAATATACTCTCATTATATAAAATTATAAAAATATATCCATTCCAAATTATACAACAACAATTTAAAAATGGAAATTAAATACTTAGTAGTTATTATCTTGCTTTCTCTCTCCTCTTCCCCCAATTTTGGATAGGGCTACAATTCGGGCGAGCCCAACCTGAAATAACCCAAGTCCAGCACGAAATTTTGCGGGCTTGGGCAATGTTTTTCTAATTTTGGTTTGAACCTGAGCTATATATTTTGAACCCGAATTCAATTCAGATTAAGCTTGGGTTGATATGGATGAAACTCAAAACTCAACCCGAGCCCGAAAATATTATATATATTTATAATTATGCTTAAATCATAAGAATGTAGTAGCCAAGTTTGTAGTGTGCTTGGAATTTATGCTTAAAATTTTAGGTTCAAGTCATGGATGCATCATTAATTGATTTATTTTTTACACACAAATTCTTAGTGTGGGCTTAGGCTGAAGATTTTCTATATGGACCTAGTCCGAGATGAGTGTCAAGCCCGCCCAAGTTGCAACCCTAATTTTGGACGATATAAAATTACAAAAGAATGAGGGTTGAAGCATTCCTCCCTCTTTTCCCCTCCATTCAACTAAACATAAATAACTTCTTTTATCCCCCCTCTCATTCTTTCCTTCTCAGTCCTTCCCTTCAACCAAATATAACAGCATTAGTCAAATCAAACTTTTATAATATATTTTCTTACATCTCCATGCATGTTAATTAATTTTGATTTTCCCCATCTTCTGGCATTACCCTTAATGTGAGACGTGTCAATTTTACTAATTAGAGCCATTGGCGATATTCTTTGAACATGTACAAACATCTTTGTTCTTTACATCGAACCAATGAATAAATCAATGTCTTGAAATAACCAACTAGCCAGTGACCTAACGGTATCAACTTCTTACTTCCCAAAGGGAAGTCAGAGGTTCAAGTTTTAGAAGAGACAAATATGTGTGAGTCCCAACTTAAAAAAAAAAAAAAAAAAAAAAAAAAAAAAAAAAAAAAAAAAAAAAAAAAATGCCTTGAAATAGTTTGAGAAAACGCCTCAAGTTTCTTTGTTTTTTTTTTGTTTTTTTTTTATAATCGGGGTGTCCGGGACTTTGCCCCGATTAATCCATGGGACCTGTGTAAGGCGACCTCCCCATACGATCGAGTAAAAAATTCGAACTATGTCCGCAGTCGTGGCCCTATGGAATTGCTCGCACTTAAGGGGAATCGAATTTGAGACCTGAAGCTTAATGGGGCTGCAGGCCCAAGTCTTTTCCACTAGGACAACCCCTTCGAGTTAACACCTCAAATTTCATTCCTCTTAAGTATGAGCAATTTTTTGGAGTTATGACCGAGGGCATAGTTCAAACCTTACCCGATTCATATAAAAGAGTGACATTGCACAGGTTTCGTGGATTAATCGGGGCAAAACCTCATACACCCAGCTATAAATAAAAAATATAAAATATAAAAAATAAAAAGTTTTAGAAAACAGAGTAGTAGAACAGGGCAACCTTAGAAAGATGAGACTTGAAATAAGGACCACGCAATTGTAGGAGAAGATGTTGACCAGAGCAAATCTAAGAGTTGCTGATCTTGAAATAGAAATGCGAGCGCCTAATCTTGAGGACCATTGGCTAGTCAATTAATATCATAGAAGATTTAAATATATAAAAGGGTATGTATGTAAATCCAAGTGTTTCATCTATTTGTTGAACTGAAATATTTTCAACCATCCGATGGTTGAAATTTACATGTGATTGTGAATCCCGTGTTTTCATAAACCATCCTCCCATGGTTGAAACCACTTTGGCCCATTAATTTAACCTCAACCATTTCTACTTTCTAGTAGCTTAAACTTGTTTTAGTCAATTACTTCAAATTGGACCCTACTTGTAATTCCATAATCACCTAAGTAACTCAATGCCTTTTGTCTTTGCATGTTTATGTATTATGAGGCTTTGACTCTAGAGAACAAAAAGGCCATGGAGGGAAAAATAGAGGAAAAGCAACCCTCTTGTTGTGATGATTTTTTTAGGCAGGTGCGAGACATTGGACAAGTTATAGGATGTCATGTTCCCACATCGCTGGGAGAATGTGAAGTGCTATATGTAAGGGACAATACATTTTTTTATGACACAACACGTTTTAAAGTTATGTTGATCGTGAACTCATCAGAACTTCAAAGTTAAGCATGTACCAAGATGGGTGACCTTTTGAAAAGTTGTCATAGAATTTAATTCTCCACGCGGGGCTTGCCCCCTCAGCCGATCAATCGGTCTCCTGGGGGTGCCAAAGTTAAGCTCCAACCTATTGGGAAGTCTCTGGTACAGGGTAGCTAAAATTAAACAATTTTAAAGTTAAGCTCCAGGATCCGGAGGAACCAAAAACGGGCAATAAATTTAGAAGCTATAAATTTTATTTTTTTATTTATGTCCTGATTCAATAGTGCTTCCTAGATCACCCAAAAAATATACGATGGAGAGAATTTAGGACCAATCTCCACCTCAACACCAATTAAGTTCACAATTCTAACATTTATTTAGTTGTCAAACTGTAATTAGTCCAAAATCATGTAGTCTCTGCACAGGGATGGACCCAGGATATGAAGTAAGAGGGCAAAAGTGAATTGTTTTTTTTATAATTTCACGAGGAGCAATGGTAAATTTTCAAAGTATATAACTGAAAAAATAAAAATAAAAAAAAATTACAACTACTTAATGCTAAAAAAAAATTTGGAAAGTCACCGAGGACAGCTCTCAAAAAAGTTTACAAACTAAAATCTAATAACTTTTTTAAAGTTACACTACACGGCAACCCAAGAAAAAGAAAAAGACAAATAAAACAAAAAATAAAAATAGTTTACACTACAGGGCTGCCCAAGAAAAGAAAAATAGGTTACACTACAGGGCATCCCAAAAAAAAGAAAAAAAGGCCAGAGTATGCATGATCTTCCAACAAATTAAAGTAGTTCAGATGCTCCATGGAACTTGGAGATCAAAATTCCAATCCATGAACTGCTCCCTATAATCCATCAAACCACCCAACAAATTCCCATTATCATTCATGGAGTGCTGATCAAAAACATCCTCCATCAAACTCGATTCATGAGCCCAACAACCACCACCACCACCGCCACCACCCTGTTCTTCCTCAACCAAGCTCGGAACCAAACCTTCCGACATACAAATCGAAAACTCACCACCCTCTTCCTCAACCAAGCTCGTGCTCGCACTCCAGTGATCACCAACCGAGCTCGAACAACCTGGTGGTGTCGGTTGCGGCGGCGGCGGCGGCGGTGTGTTCTGTTCTTTCAGGTTGAGATTGGCGGAAGGTCCGTACAGCTTCCGGGCTGCGCCGTCGTAGGCGGCTGCTGCTTCCACCGACGTGTCAAAGGTGCCGAGCCAGAGCCTGGCGCCGTGGTTGGGCTCACGAATCTCGGCCACCCATTTGCCCCAAGTCCTCTGCCTAACCCCTGTGTATGTGCACAAACTATTCTCAGGACCTCCTTTCCCTTTCATGCACCCTTTTCTCGAACGACCCAACAATGACTTTTTACCCCTCTTTTTCACTGCTCCTTTTTCTTTCAGGTTAATACTCTCCTTCTCATCCATTGTTGCACTCACAGCTCTCTCTCTCTCTCTAAAGGTGGTGGCTCTGTAGAGAATTAACGGTTGAACATATATTATTTAGGAAAAATTACATATAAATGGAGTCAAAATTCCATATTTACTTAGAGACTGAATCAAAGTTCCATATTTCTCTAAAATGGATTGCTGAGGTGGTACATGATTTTTTACTGTTTAGAAAATTGTGGTGCCTAAAATGCCCTTCTCTAACAAAAAAGTAATACCTTCAATTCAAAAAAGTAGTACCTTCAGTTCAAAAAAGTAATATCTTCGGAGAAAAAGTAGTACCTTCGCGGGTGTTTAAAAAATATGGTACTTGGACGCCAAAAAGTAGTACCTTCAGTTCAAAAAAGTAGTACCTTCGAAGAAAAAGTAGTACCTTCGCGGAAGGGTATTTTAGGCACCACTAAACAGTAAAAAACCATGTGCCACCTCAGCAATCCATTTTAAAGAAATATGAAACTTTGACTCAGCCTCTAAGTAAATATGGAACTTTAACTCCATTTATATGTAATTTTCTCTATTATTTATTGCCTAGTGTCACAGTGAAGCTTGGGTTGTTTGCCTTGGAAAACCATATGTGTGACACGTGTCAGAGTAATATATCATATGTTGCCTAGTGTCATAGTGAAGGATGAGTTGTTTGCTTTGGCAAACCATATGTCATGTTGCGGTATATATATGTATAAATATATATGTATGTATGTATGTATGTATTTGTGGGAACCCGTGGATTTTGTATGTGTCAACCGAGGAGACATCAACTTTCCCAAGAGGTGTGGAACCTGCCACAGCATCTGATTTTGCTGTCAAGGCAACCGCGTCTGCTTAGGCCCGTTTGGCTAAAGCATCATGCTTTCTTGCCGATGTAAAATATTTTTTTTTTTGTTGGAAGAGTATTTTGAGTAAAAATTGAAATCATGTTTAGTAACGAAAATATATTTTAAAAAATGTAGAAATTTATTTTAGTTTCTCAGTTACAATATCAAAATAAATAATACCAATTTGGTGATATAGGTCTGGTCAAAAATTTTGATATATTATGAATTATTTCAAATCAATATTTTTTATTTTTTATTTTTTACAAGGTAAAAAGTGTTAGAAGTTATATTAGCCATTATGATATGGGCTCAAATTTAAATATCAATATTAAAAAAATAATATCATAACCCGTGTCAAACGGGCCCTTGGTTTTTAAAGAAAACATGTCTAGTAATGTCGATCTTTTGCAATTTGTGATATTTTTAATTACTTTTGCACTGTTAAAAAAAAAAAAAAAAAAAAAACTATATCGATAAACCATACCCAAAATAAATTAATATCCACCAAACATGTATTCATGTTTCTACTTTCAAAAATCTTGTAACAAAATTTACTTTACCAAACATACCCCTTATTACTATAAAATACACTCCAAAACAAAAATATTATTTCTATTTTGAATCAAAACAAAAACAAAAAATAAAAACATTGCCAAAGAGAATCTAAATTTAATTAGATGGTTGGTTATAAAATATATGAATTCAAATGTTGCTTGTGATTTGTACATTATTATGTTTGCAAATCATTTAATAATTCAAAGTGACTAATCGGATGTATTGATTATTCACTATCTAGACAAAGAAAAATACAACTGGCATATTTGGTTCGTAATTTTGAAAACAGTTCTAAAAAATTTAAAGAATTATAAAAGACAGTTATCTGAAAATATATTTTTTTATAACTGAGTTTTCATAAAATAGTTCTTATAAAACTGAACTAAGTGAATTTTTTGTACAGTTTTATACTTTCAGTTTTCTGAAAACAGAAAACTATTATCAGAGTTACAAATCAAGCAAATCATTTCAATATTTATGCTTTGAATAAATTTTCATTCTCAAAGTATTTACTAGGTCCTACCCATTTGGTTGAAAACTCCTCTGATGGATGTTGTTGGAAACTAGTTATGAAAACTAGTGTTTTAACGTATGAATGAAACTTGTCTGTGATTATGATCTATGTATAGAATATAACATTGTGTATATGTTGTTGCAACGTGATTATTCCAGAGTCATATACGTTAAAATATGGCAGTTGTAGGCTAAACCTATAAAGATAGTCACAACGCTTTTGTTGTGACTGTTGGTGGTAATCGGAAAGTTAACGAGTTCTAGACACGTGATTCAATGTGGTTAAGGATATGTTGGAAAGTAAGGGTAGCATGATTGAGTCTTAATAGTGACATTGAATCATGATCATATTTGTGAGTTTTGGGTTACAAATGTCGAAAGAACGTAACGTTATTGACAATTGACAATCGGTTAAATTGTTGGTGAACAAACGATACGTTGTTTCCAAACAGTCACACCCATACTCTAAGAAGTATCCCAAACAGACACACCCATACACCAAAAGGCATCTCTAAGTCTATAAATAACCTACTGGGCTACCATAATTCATCGTTCAGTTTATTTTATTCTCTCTCCCTCTCTAGACTTAAACCCAACCTAAGTAGGTTCAAGCCATGGTCAAGTGGTCTGAGCCATTTAGGCCCAAAACCAATTTTATTGAGCCATATTAAATTTGGTTAGAGCCATTTGGTTCGGATTGCACCCAATTCATTATTTATATAGTATAGATGCATTTTTTAGTCAGAGAGAGTATTACACGGAGGAGGTTCACCGTATCCACAAGTTTGTAGTGCTGCTACTGGTGGATGTAGACCGTTGTATCCTGGGAGATAGACACCGTTGAATCCGTTAGCACCATAGCGGGGTAAATCTGTCTTAAGGACATAGTATCCAATACTAGCCTCGGTCCAGGTTCTTTATTTATTATTATTATTTTATTACTTTATTTTGCATATTTAATTAAATGTAGAGTTGTATATTTAATTAATGATTTCTTAGCATATTATTAATTATCTCATGACATAGTAGTATGAGGTTTGTTATATCTTAAATGTCACATGAAACATATGTTTACCAACAATCTTAAGACAGATTCTTCCTTGCATAGAATTTATTATATTCTTCTATTTCAGATATAAAAAGTAGGATTATACTAATAATTGAGATATAATAAAATAATGTTATATACATTATTATATGATAATATGCTAAATATTGATGTGTTCGATATTATATGAAATTGAAGTATGTTATATAAGTAGAATATTGAAATATTTATATAATTCAATATTGGTTGAATTATTTTAATTTTGTAATATGATGTAGTATATTATATTATCTTAAATTTGTATCAACAAGAGGTCGAAAAGGGTATTTCGTTAGTTTTATCAATGATTACATAAGATACTGTTATGTATATTTGCTACGAAGCAAATACAAAATTTTAGAAATGTTTGAAAACATTACAAAAATGAGGCTGATAATCAACTTGGCAAAAATGTCAAGGTGTTAAAAAATGATAGAAGTGGTGAATACAAAACACCAGGTGCTGATATTTGTTCAGAACATGATATCATTCATGAAGAAATGATGAATATCATGTTGACAAGTCACAAGTTCTGGTTTAACTCAGAATTTGTGGGGGAAAATTTTGCCTTCTGCAACCTATGTTCTCAATAAAATACATCAAAAGAAAAAGAATGTGACACTATATGAATTTTGGAAATGTCGAAAACCTTCCTATAAATTCTTAAAAGTGTGGGGGTGTCTAACTAAGGTTGCAGTTCCTATTCCTAAGAAAGTTAAAGTGGGACCTAAAATGTGGCGACATTATGGGTGGGTGTGCCATGGGCAGATACAAAAGGCACTGACATGCTACTACACTAGGCGAGCTACAGGTGCACAGTCCCGCATCGCCTAGGTAAGGGAAAGGTGAAGTACTTTTATGTGATGATGTTATCTCCAATTGGTATGTGACATTTTTGGGATAAAACCCAAGAACAAAACCATTCAGGCTCAAGCCCAAAGCTGACAATATCATACCATGTGGTGGAGTGGATCGTTACATAAAACCTTTGATAGGTTATGCTCATAATAGTAGTGCATATCGTTTTCTTGTGCATAAATCATACAATGAAAATAAGGATGAGCTTAGATGTAGCAAGAGGGCTAAAACATCTAAATCTTTTGGTCCTATTTTTCTAGCATGTTTATTGGTGAATGAGCCACAAAGCTTTAAGAAATCAAAGTCTTATTCTGAATATTATTCTTAAATTATTTTTTAAATTAATTATGTGATATAATTAATCATGTGATATAATATAAAACTATATCATTATGCAAGTTCAATATTATTTTTATAAATGCTTACTTTTATTTGATACTATAATATTGAACTATGTAGTTGAATTACTTAATGTGCATTGTAATTCAAATTTACAACATAATTTATTTAATATGTGATATTATTGAATTTGTATGAATTCATGACTGGTTTGTGTATGTAATACAACAAACAAAAATTGACTAGTTCAACTATGTCAATTCCCCTGATAATCAAAGGAAAAAGATCTATACTAGTATTTAAGACACGTATAGCTGTAAATGGGCTGAATAAGAAAAGATTTTCCAATAACTCTAAAGAGTTTAATGGAAAATGTTATGAATATACTAAGCAAGTACACCGAGATAAGCTAAATCAAGCTAGTTAGCTACAATTTAGCTAAAAGTTAAAATGTTATTAAGTTGTAAACTAGTTAGCTTAGCTATAAGCTAAAATAATTAATGAGATGCACAGAACCTAGAAGGAAAATGAAAAACTGTTAGTTGGTTCTAACTCTCAACTTGATAGTAAAAAACATGAGGGTGATGAGTAGCCATTTTAGCTATAAGTTATTTGAGCTATAACGTCATATCTGCTCATGTAGGAGGGAATAATACTACTTGTAAAGTAGTAGTTTTTGAAGAATATTCTTCAAAACAAATTACTCTACTACCAAGATAGACTACTTAGATAAGTATGCGCTAAAGTTATGAGCTACTAAACAAACTTAACTTCAAGCTAGCGGTAATAACTGAGAAGTGAGTGCTCATCAT